CTTCCTCTCTCCCGCTTTTTAGTGAAATGTTTTCATTTCAACTTCATACTTGAAGGTTCCTCCCCTCCCCCGTGGTATAGAATTTTCAGTGGCACTTGTTTTTAAGTTTTTAAGGATGTGGTTCCATTATCTCTGGCTTTCATTGTTGAGAAGCCAGTTGTCAGTCTAATGGAAGAAAGATTAACCTTTCTTCCTGTGCTATTTTTGGCATTTTCTCTTTGTATTTTGTTTTCAGCAGTTGTAATATGGCATGTGTCCGTTATTACTGTGTTACAATATGTTTACCAACATGTGTCCTTCTCCAGTATTGCTATGTAACAAACTGCCCTAAAGCTTAGTGGTTGAAAACGCTACCAATTATTTAGGGCGCACATCTGCAATTTTGAGTGGAGCTCAGTGGGAAAGGCTTAATTCTATTCTATATGGCATTACCCGGGCTTGACTGCAGGATCTACATTTAAGATGACTCACTCGCAACTGACAAGTGGTACTAGCTGTTGGCTGGGAGTTCATACGGGGCCACAGTTGTCTCCATGGGTGCTTCAGGTTCCCTACGGCACGATGGCTAGGTCTCAAGAGAAAAGAGGTGGAAGCTTCCAGTCCCCAAGGCCTTGGTCCATAAACTAGGACAGCCTCACTTCTACCATATTCTATTGGTAAAGCAGTTACAGAGCCAAGATTAAAGGGTAAAGAGACAAATCCCCCCCCCCATCGGAGGCGTGTCAAAGAATTCTGAGCCATGTTTTAAAAGCTGCACAAGGTCCCTAACTGTGGATTTCTTTCTCTTTCTTTTTCTTTTTTTTCTTTTCTTTTTTGGTGGAGGAGGGCTTATAGGGTATTTTAAATCAGTGTTTTTCATCAGTTTTGGAAAGTTCATAGTTATTAGCTCTTTACATATGGCTTCTGTCCAGTTCTTTTTCTATTTTTTTTTTATTTGTGGCTCCACTTATATGTATGTTAGATTGTTCCATTATATATATATCTATCTTTCATCTACTTCCCTGTGTTTTCCTAGATTTTGTCTCTCCATGCATTATTCTTTTGTTTACTCTTTTCTGACCTATTTCCTATTCACTAGTTTTCTCTTCAACATCGTCTTATCTGCTCTTTATACCTGGGCATTGAGTTCTTAATTTTGACAATTGTATTTTTTAATTCTGTAATTTCCACTTTGTTCTTTTTTTATAGTTTAAAGTATTTTTTTGCCAAAATTATAAATCTGTTTTGTTCTCTTGGATATTATCACAGTTATTTTAAAGCCTGTGTCAGATAACTTAAATATTTGCAGCTCCCCCCCCTCCCAACTTATAGACGTGTTTCTGTTGGTATTCTTTCATATTGTCATATCTCCTCACGTGCTTGGTGAGTTTTGATTATGTGTCGGACCTTGGATTTGCAATAATGCTGTAGAAATCATTTGAAGCCTAGTCTGATGTTTCCTTTATGTGTACTTCTCCCAGGTACCTGGGAACGTGCCACTCAGGATAAATTCAGTCCACTTTGCAGAACTGAAATTATTTGAGGCTGAGCTGCAGTCCCTGGGAGGGTCTGTTTACTTGTGGCCCACCCTTATTTCTAGGGTATAGACTTTTAGGATTCCAACCCACAGTAACAAGTGGTCATCAGGGCTCTCCCCTTGCAGACACCTGGCCTCCAATCTCTGTCCCCTGAGCCTGTGGGTTGTTAATGTTTCTGTGTGTCCCTCCAGCCTTTCAAGTAACAATTGTGTGGACAATTGTATTTTTTAATTCAAGGCAGCTTAAACACTGGGCTTACTCCCCCTGGGTTTCCATAACCCCTTCCAGCCTGGAAATTCGTCACTGTCTGATGGTATCCAGCACCTCACTCAAGCAGATGGTTTTTATATTTTGTCCAACGTTTCTGGTTATCCCCAGCAGGTATCTGGCTCACGTTACCTAGTCTGCCATTAACAGAAGTGAAAGTCCTTGGAGAGACCCCATTTTCTTTTTTTTTCTTTTTCTTTTCTTTTTAATTTTTTTAAATTAGAGAATTGGGGGAGGGGAACAGCGTTGGGGAATTGGGGAGGGGGACCAGCCAAGTTGTTCTTCAATCTCGTGGCCTCTAAGCTCAAGGTGCTGTGTTACAATCTTAGTTGCTGGTGGGTGTAACCACCATCCCATGTGGGAGTCGAACCAGCAGCCTTGTTGTTAAGAGCACATGCTGTATTCACTGCGCCATCCCATCCGGGTGGCAGCTCAGCTCAAGGTGCCGAGTTCAGTTTTAGTTGCGGGTGGGCATAGCCCACCATCGGACAGGCAGTCTTGTTGTTAGGAGCATGTGCTTTCACCAGCTGAGCCACGCTGCCACCAGTTGGCAGCTCAGCTTGGGCGCAGCATCACTGGCCCACAGCTGGCGGTCCTTTTGCTCAGAGCTCGCAATCTTAAGCCAACTCTTAACCAGTTGAGGCACTTGGCCGGCCCGAGATCCCATTTTCTTTTGGATTATTCCCACCAGCTTGATTACACTTTCCCCATTAGCTACCTTTATTTGCCCCTTGACCGAAAACTCCACGTTGTCTGCACCTGTCGTCTCCAATTTCTCCAATCCGGTTCTTTCTTAAACCCATTCCAATCAGGCTTTGGTTTCCCCACTCCACCAAAAGTACGCTTGTCAAGGTCACTCATGCTTCAGTGGTGCCAAATCTAGTGGCCAGTTTTCAGCTGTCGTTATATCTGACACAGCAGCAACATTTGATGTGAAGCACTCGAGCACTCAGACGTGAAGAGGTTGGTGAGATGAAACAAAAACCAGCCAAGGAGAATGAGGAGCCCCCTCCGTCCCCCTTTCCTACTTTGTTTTTTTCTATAGCACCTTTTGCCTGATAGCCCATTTCACGTAATTCCGTATTTTTATTTTTGCCTTTCTCATTTTGTTGATCTCCTCCCCATAAGAACAGGGACTCTAAGGAGGGCAGGGCAGGTTGTCTGTTTTGTTGATCAGTTTACCCTTCCATTTAGAACAGGGTCAGGCACAAATAGGGTGATCGGTGGATCTTTGCTAATAAGCAGTTGCTGTCTCTGGGAAAGAAGAGGCTGGCCCCGTCCAGCCGGTGCTCTCTGGGCACTGTCCCCATTAGANTTATGCTGTCTTAATTAGTGTTACTTCTCAATCAATCTTGATGTCTGGTAGATCAGGATCTCACTTCAATCTTCTTCAAGATTATTTTGGCTATTCTGAGCACTTTGCATTTTTACAAGAAAAAAATTCCACACACAAAACAAGCAAACAAACAAAACCTTACGGTCTCAAGATTTTTTTTGGGATTGTCCTGATTCTATAGCTCATTTGGTGACAATTGACAACTTTATATTACTTAGTCTTCCAATCTAGAAACCTGGAATACTCTCCCATTTATTTAGGTTTTTAAAAATTTTCTCTCAATGTTTTATAGTTTTCTGCATAGAAGTTTTAGACATATTTTGTTAGATTTATTTGTAGTGTTTGAAAATTTTCAATGTAAAGATTGTAAATGATTCTTATTAGAATTTAATTTGCTGTTTGTTGCTGAATATAGCCACTCCAATTGATCTTTTTTTTTTTTTTAAGATTTTTATTGGGGTATTGGGGAAGGGGAACATTGTGTTTTCCCAGGACCCATCAGCTCCAAGTCAAGTTGTTGTCCTTCAGTCTTAGTTGTGGAGGGCGCAAGCTCAGCTCCAAGTCCAGTCGCTGCTTGCTTTCACCAGCTGAGACATCCAGCCACCCATTGGCAGCTCAGCGGCAGCTCGGTTCCTGCACAGCTCACTCGCCCATGTGGGAATCGAACCGGCGACCCTCTTGCTTATAGTTTGTGCTCTAACCAACTGTGCCACCCAGCCGGCTCCCGCCAATTGATTTTTGTATATTCATCTTGTGTTCAGCAACCTTGCTAAACTCATTTATTAGTTCTAATAATTTACCTGTAGGATTTTTTGGATTTTCTAAGAATACAGTCATATCCTCTGAATAATGACAGTTTTGTTTCTTCCTTTCCTATCCTTATACCTTTTATTTATTTTTCTTGGCATATTGTGCTGATAAGAATAGTCAATAAAATGGTGAAGCAAGCATTCTTATCTCACTTGTGATCTCTAAGGGGGAAAGCTTCAACATTTTACCGTTAAGTATGATGTTTGATCTAGTTTTTATTTCTTTTCTTTCTTTTTTTTTTTTCATAGTTCAGCTTTATTACCTAATAGAAGTCCAATTTCTGGAACATTAAAAGTATTTGTTCCAAAGTTTAATTTAAAAACACAATTTATAAATATTTAATATCTTCTGAAAAGCATTTCCAAGTTAAGAATGAAAAAAATGTATACATAACAAATAATCAAATACCAGTTAGCTTCAAATCCAATGAGGTCCACACTCAGCAACATCCGTCTTTTAAGGTTCTCCAAAATCTTCTGTTAAATCTACCAAGTTGGTTTCTATGATGGTGGAAGGGATGGAAACCCCTATTGCTAGTTTTTTTGTAGATACCCTCTGTTACATTAAAGAAATTCCTTCTTATTTCCAGTTTCCTAAGGNCTCAGATGTGATAGTCAAATTAGAAAGTGGATATGACAGGGCTTTGGTAAAATAAAAATTTAAAACACCACATGATGATAGTTTTTAAAAAGAAAGAAAACGAAATCTTTCCAAATAAAAAGAAAGTCCCAACTCCATTTAAATGTGTGTGTGGGGTTGGAAGTGGGGAGTCCAGCTGGAGCGGGTCAGCGCCCAGCCCGAGGCAGGCAGTGGCCTGTCTGGAGGGACCCAAGCCTTCATTTCTGTGTTTTCCTCCTTGGCCCCGGCTCCTCAGGCTCTTCCAGCTAGAGACGGAGGCCGACGCCCTGCTGCACTTCCAGCGGTATTCCTCCCAGTTGCCGCCCTTCTATGAGAGCTCCAGCCGCATCCTACATACCGAGGTCCTGCAGCAGCTGACCGATCTCATCCGCAGCCACCCCAGCTGGTCGGTGGCCCACTTGGCAGTAGAGTTGGGGATCCGAGAGTGCTTCCATCACAGCCGCATCATCAGGTGGGGCAGGAGGGCAGGACTCTGGGGACAGCGTATGTGGGTGGGCGGGGCCGTGGGGAACCTCTCCGTCCTGCCTCAGTCCTCCTCCGTAAACTCAAAGGTTGCCCAGAATGTTTGACTTCAAAAAGGGCAGCATTGCCTCCGGGTTATAGCATAGGGATGCTGACTAAAGTCGGAAGGAGAAACATAACATTTCTGGAATGTCCACCATGAACTTGAATCCTCCCAATGCCCCCATGAAATATTGTCATCCCAGTGAGTGGGTGTGTGACCTGTGCAAGGTCACTCAGCTGGAGTGGGCCGCAGAGGCTTCAGGTCCCTGACGTCTTCTTCCAAAGGTCTGGTTGCCCATTGGGGAGCTGGAACACTTCCATTCATACATCCACTCAAGCAACACGTGTATCAGTGGACGCCCCCGGGTGAAGGTACCGTGCTGGTCATAGGGCTGCAGCCG